ATAATTGTTCGGGTTTAGTGCCAATTCACAGATATTATTATATTCATTTCTCGACGTTTGCTTATTTCTAAAACATTTCAACTTCATTCCCGCATAAATAACATTGATTAATTTTATACATTATTTTTTTATTTTATCTTTATTTGTAATTTTGAACAAAAATGGGATAGGGGGGAGGGGTGGACACTTTCCTTTTCCACCGACATTCAATAAATATATGCATTAGACGCAAAAAAAAGCCCTCCATAATAATCATGCAAACTCCCGTAAAACCCTATGCGCTCATTTCATTAATTGAACGATAATTGAATAATTATCATTACGATCAAAATAGTTTTCGTCGATTTAAGCTGCCTGTACGAGTCAAAGATTTTTTTAATAATACTACTGTGGGAGGAGTCATGGAACAGTTTTCTTAGCGTCATTTGACCAGTTTCGCTTGGTATACGTATTCATAGGTTAGACATCAACGCCACAGAAGAACCAACCATTTTAAGATATATAACACTACAATAAAATAAATGTGTAGTCTCAGTCTCAGTCTCTCTCTCTCTCTCTCTCTCTCTCTCTCTCTCTCTCTCTCTCTCACTTTTCTTAGTATAACGAATGAAAACAAATGGATTGCCGCCGAAATGTTTTGCACTGCTAAATAGAATGGAGTAAAATATATTTATTTTGCGCTAAATTAAGAATAAAAAGATAAAAAGATATGCCATTCATTTCAATTTATTTAATTTGTTTTTATCAAAAGTTATATATACTATATGGAATGCAAAACATAGTTTATTACCTGTATCATAAAAATTGTACAAGTTATCCAAAAATTTATTAACAATTGTTTACTCTATTGCGAACATCATTCGCAATTCCTCTATCAATTTGTTAATCTTTTTTAAATTGGAATTTTTCACAACTATTCGGTTGATAAAAACGACCATTTATAACAAAAAATTATTAAAAATATCTCATTATGATATAATATTTATCACGGTATTCTTACTTAATATACAATAAGAATTTTTTATGTCGATCTAATAACAACCGAAAGTATTTATAATATAAACATATGACGTAGTAATATAAAAAATATTTTCTTAAGAATCGGCAGATTTAAACATTAATAGTCTAGAAATAAAAATGGATAGAAAATCAATCAATTTGGTGTTAATATTGACTTGGAAGCTATAAATTAGTTAGACTTGGAATATAATTTGATACTTGGATTATGAGTCTTTTATGGCAATGTTTTTGTCCTTTGTTACCTGACTCTCTCTCTCTCTCTCTCTCTCTCTCTCTCTCTCTCTCTCTTTCCTTGTCACTCTCTATATATTTATCGTACTAAAGTATATAGGCTTGAATAGCTTTGTCGTTAAAAAATATCGAGAAATCTGTCAATAGATTATTATAGAAACTTTATAGCGACGTAGCGACGTATATGGAGATTTCGATGACAGATGTACTATTACTAGAGTTTTTATATATATTGTTACTGTGAAAACTGCACTAAGTATGCAATAAAAGTATCAAGTCTTTAACTGTTATTTAAACAGTCCAACTTTTAGTTTACAAAAAATAAATTGTGAAATGCATAAATATAAACGTATTACTAATACTATTATCTCGTATGTTTAAAAGATGTTAAATTCAACATTTAAACTCCGTTCTTATTGTGCATTGAATGAAGAAAAAGTCTTTTATTGAAATTTATACTACACGACAGTTAAAATATTAAGAGTCGTGCATTTCTTGTACAAGTAGTGTTTGATAATAGAATTTTTATTTATATTATTTATATATTATTTTTAATTATTATTTATAGAGAATGTTGTCACAGTTTATTCTGCTAATATCCATTAATTTAATAATTAATTAAACCAAAAAAATTTTTATAATATTTTTCATTCCGTTATTTCGTTTTTTTTTTTCTTCATATTTCAATATAAATAAATAAGGAATAAGCTTTTTTATTAAAAAATAATTTAATTCATAAATAAAATTATATAATTAAAATAAAAACTGTTTATACTGAGTAAATAAGTAGAAATTATATCTATTGATTGTATAAAAATTGTATATTTAAAAACAATATGTACTATATTAATATGTATGTATAAAGATTAATACATTAAATATTTTCATTTTTTAATTAAAAATAAACAAACATTACGAAGAAAACATTTATTTATAGTATAAAAATAATCTACACAAAGCATTAAATTACATTTAATTATATTTAACGATGGTACATATGTGAATCATTTCGAATTCAAACGTGCATATAACAAGGTGAAAACATTTATGAACCGTGTTTAAGAAATTCAAAAGAAAGATGAGTTTTATAATTTTCAAAGACGTAAGATAGAGTGAAGTATAATAAATTAACTACCCTAAATCGAACTAAACAAATATTAAAAATTATCTTGTTTTTTAACATTAATTTTGCATTAAATATTGAGAACAATTATGATATAATTAATAAAATTGTAATTTTCCGTAGATTTTGAAACTTCCTTTAATTTGCTTAATTTACTTAATTTACCAATACAAAATCTTGACTTTCATTAAGTTTTTAATCAACTAGAATACAATATTATTTGACTTCGAATTACATGTAGTTACTAGAGATTTAAAATAATAATAATAATAATAATAATATTTAAATGATTTAAACATTAATTTACATTAAATTGTAGTTATATTTAAGTAAAATATCAATATTATAAATTCAAAATTTTCAACGAATTTGCATTTATATTAAATGCAACACAACAAACAATAAGTTATAGAAAATTATTCTTCATTTCATTTTTTTCATAATATTCTATCTTATAAAATAAAAATAATCTTTATTTAGTACTCTACATATTAAATCTATTCCTTAATTATTTTATTAAATCAATGAAAAAATGTGTATTTCTTTAAAATATGTGTATCTTGTATAGGTAATCCAAAATAATAATAATATACATTATAATAAAAAAAAAAATACAGAAGAAATCAAACAATATATTGTTTTATATGTTATGATTTGTATATTACAAATTTTTTTTCATAATTTACAATATGTAGAATAAATATGTATCAATTAGTTAATTATTATGTGTACTCTTTGATATTATTTTCTGATTGTTTCGGTTGTCAAAAAATGTTTTTTTGAATAACAAGTATATAATCAAGGAAAGAGATGAGAATATTTATGATCTTTAAAAACCTGCGGATTCGATGAAATATCTCAAAAAGATATCCACCTGAATAACAAATAAATACATTAAACAAACTTATTAATAAATTTATACGCATTAAAATAATATTGTTTATTTAAAGAAAATAGTTAAATATAGTGAGTAATAGTTGTTAAAAATTTTATTACTAAATAAAAACAAAATATTTTGTATTATATCATTTTATTATTTATTGTAGAATTGAAACATTGACATATGAACTTACGTATCTTATAAATTGTAATTCATGTATATGTACAAAAGTATGTTTATTTTCATATATGAAGATCGTTAAATATTATTTATTAAAAGATAATAAAGATAAGATAGTATAAATGAATCTTCAGCAAAAAATTAATGTCAATAAAATCACAATTAATCATTTTTATTAATTATAATAATATATTTAAAAAATATATCACTGGCTTTACGGATTCAATTATTCATTATGAAAATTCTTTTTAATAAATTTTCATTAATCATAAATGGATATGAAAGGATCTAATTGTATTATATTTTGAGTTTGAGTATTTTAGGCATAATTTTTATAATAAAATTGATAGGATATTATTAATATTGGCTAAAATATATTCCATGGTAATGAATTAATTATTAGTAAAAAGGGATTGTGAAATAAAAGCCATTTTCACCAGGTCAATGAAAATGTCAACGTTTTATTTAATACATACTTGTTTAAATCGATCCAGCGAGTACAATAATTAATCATTGATTATCTATTGTGATAATGATATTATATAAGAATAAGAATAATCTTTATTGTTCTGTGCATCAATAAAATGCAATAATATTGCTATTAAAATAAATTACTGTCATGTATATTCGAAATATACTGCTCGTAAAAAATACCTTACGAACATTTATATACGATAATAATTCAAAGTTATATGATCTTATACAATAAATAAATTTTAAATACACGAACAATATAATTTATTTGTAAATTAATCACCGATCGAACAGGATATTTTTACGTCTTGTTATTTTTGTTTGATACGGATTAAGAGTAAAATAAGATAAATTTTACTTGTTCCTTTTTTTGTTTTGTTTTGTTTTTTTTTTTTTATCATTTGAAACGCAATTTAAATTTCGGTTAATATTTGAGGAAGTAAATTGAATTCCAATAATATGATTATATTTCAAAATTCATGTACAATTGGAAATTCGAAACTATAAAATCGAAATGATTTAACATTATTTAACCAATGATTGTTTTGACCAATTATTATAAAAGTAACTTTCGAATAATTTAAAAGTCACTTTTTTTCTTCTAATAATTATTTGGGAATAAAAAAAAAAAACTCTCCGAATCTATTCAAATGTGTTTTATCTCAAATGCACATATTTGTTTAAATTTAATGATTATTGCTATGCATTGTTATGTATAAAATTTCGTCTTAATTGATATTCAATTTCAGGTTTTCATAAATAATAAAACAGAACTCTCTCCGAATCTATTCAAATAAATTTCACATCAATTATACAAATTTAAAATTAATTTTTCTTTGACTAAATCGAATGATTGTTTTATATTTGATTAAAATTCTTCTATTGAAATGACACTTTATCATATCGAATAAAACCATTCAATATATACTAGTATTTGCACATTTTTGTAGTCACTCGTCACCACAGTCATTCAAATTTAAAATGAATTTATTTACAATATATGTTTATATGTTCTCAATTGAATTTACATTACAATTGAAATGCAAATATTTTTTTTTTTTTTTTTTTTTTTTTTTTTTTTTTTTGTTTTTTTGTTTTGTTTTTTAGTAGAATTATTTAAAATTCCAGTAATGATACATTTTTTTGAACCTATAACTTTAGGTAATATCGTGTCCTGCACGATGAAGAAAAATTAATTTTCTAGTTAATAAATAATGTTCAGTGTCAGTTGACGATACAGAGAAGAGACAAAACAATAGAAAGAGGTAGATAATGTATTATATAATATGATAAGAATGCAATTTTCTATTCATCGTGATATTAATTCCTTCTTTACAGTCCACCACCCGATCTTTCCACGCTGATTTTCTTCTTCAACGAATCCTTCTCATGCTGGGCTTCTTCCATTTCTGCCATCCGTGCAAATCTTGAATAGGCTACATGGCCAGATTTAATTGCGGACATCATCTGTGAAAGAGAAAAAACAAACATACTATTACTACTATCGTTAACTTATAGAGGCATTTTGCATATATAAAGCATTGTTATATATAAAAAATTTAATAATTATTTCTAAGAATTATATACAGATATAATAATAAAAAAGGGTTACAAAATATTAACATAAATAATGTGTCAACTGCACGAACAAAAGGGGTAAGAGGCAATCAAACTGAAAAAATTCAATTAAAAATTTTGTATAATTTAGTGAACAAAAGCGCATTATTAATGTTATAAAGGCCTTGTTTTCAATATATAAGATATAATAAATTTTCGTTTAAAGATCTGCATCCATAGACATACATTAAATTAAAATTATAGTTGCTTTTTTATAATATAATTTTTAATCGTATGAACAATCGTTCCACCTTGAAGGTCAATAATTCACAATTCCATTGTCATATAATTTATCTAATTTAAGCATGGTAATAATTTACAACAAATTATATAAACATAAAATTTTACCGATATTCTAAAAAATATCTATTAGAGTATATTATTTACAGAAGATTACAATATATGATATAAGTTAATAATTTGAAGAATTTGAGTTTTACATCAAATAAAACTAACTAAATATTTATTTTGAAGTCGTGGTTATATAAATATAAAAAAAAAAAATATATTACTTAGCATCATTCCATTAATAATCCATCTAATAATTAATGTTTAGCATGTGTCTACAGAATATTTAATACAATTTGTGTCATTTATAAATCCGCTATTACTCAATGGAATATAGTATTATAAAAAATTATACCTTTTTTCAAAAAGGTACATCTGCTTTAATCGATGATGCTAGTTTCTATGTAGTTAAAGTATTAGGCGATAAACAATATATTTTTATCCAAATAACAGAACAAATTGTTTCTGAAATTTCTCAAAATAATCATAAATGAATAAATGAAATATTTTAAATGAAAAATTAAATTTTACTTAATAGATCCTTATTTTCTTTTGGAATAAGCCGTGTTAAATCGGTCTCGTGTAAGAATAAATGAAATTTTTGAAGTTTACATGTATTTTATATGTACTTAATATGTCGACGGTATTTTTTCCACATATTGATGCACATACAATTAATATTTAACCATTAATTTATATTTATTGTGTGCATGTTATAAGCATGCGCTCAATTGTAAACTCTATATATAAATAATTGTTAGGTAATCCTTGCAATTATGAGTTTGTTTTTAATATACATTAGTATATTATGATGCTTACGCTGATATTTTGTAAGGTCATATACATTTAAACGGATAGACAAAAATTTCATTTTAGATGTAATCTATATCAGTAATATTTCAATTTTAATTAATTTTTTAAAAACTAATATTAGACTAAACTAGTTTTACGACAATTAAAAGATATACACTAAAATACTAAAACATAATTTCTTTTAACTTAGTTAAGTTAAAAGTAATAATCTTATGTAATACATCCTATTCGGCAATTGTGCAATGTTAATTACCAAAATTGAACATATTCCATTATATATTTCGACTTCATTTCCATAAGGAATATAATAGTGAATGATGCATCACGTATAAACGGATATGCAATTTTTAAACAAATTATTCTCTAATAAAATTAATATTTTAATTTAAAAAATACTGATTTAGATTTATTTAAATCATACGACAAGTGTACACGTACCAAGTGGACTTAAAAATTTAATAACACACAGCCAGCTAATATATTATTATGGTAATTATGTTTTGATCTAGAAAGTAAAATACGAATTATAAAAATCCAAACATAAAGAAACAATAAAAACAATTTTTTTATACTTTATGTGTTCGTAAAAGTCAAAATTAATTTTGATTCTAAAATAAATGTGCATGGATTTTCATGCTGCATGCCAAGTGTTTATCAACAGCAACAAATAAAGTTAGAAAAACACATATAATCACACTATACAAAAGCTCAGTTTTCATTTTGCTCAATGATAAAATACGAAGAAATATTTATTTCTCTCGATCATCGATATCGACCGACCTGAAGGTACTCATCCAGTTCAACTTGACCGTTCATGTTAGCATCGATTTCTCTTAGAATTTCATGAAGTTCTTCGCCTCCTACAGCCTTGTCACCAAACAGCTGTGAATAATAAAATAAAAAAAGATTTAAAATCTTAGTTAAAACGTAATTACCTGTAGATAATCTTGAAGCTCCAGTTGTCCATTGTAACTAAGATCAATTTCATTCAGTAATAAATGCATCTCAGATTCGTCTAATTTAATGCCAAGACCCTACATTATGAAAAGTAAACATGAAAGAGTCTTAACATACTGTTTAGTTCATATGAAAAGGTAGTTAGAAATAGCTTTCGATATTATTATTTATGTACAATATATTTTTCTATTTATTATTATTATGTTTTCTATCGTATTGATCAAATGATAAACCATAGGCTTCGATAAAAAAAAAAAAAAAAAAAAAAAAAGAGAGAGAGAGAGAGAGAGAGAGAGAGAGAGAAAGAGAGAAAGAAAAGCATATAGCAATAAAGAATATAAAAATGTATAACATATATAATAAATTAACATGCGTCACTAAAAAAATATATTAAATATGATGGAATTTCATTTAAAATATTTTAATGTGTATTTGATGAATAATTATTTACAGCTTTTAAAAAATCAATACAAAAGCATTCTTAAAAATATTAAAAAATAATATTAGTAAAATAATAATCATAAAAGCAAAAACAGTGATATTAATACCTTATAAAGAAGGTCTGTTATTCAATATATAATTTATGTTACATATTTATTTGGAATTCTAATTAGTATACTTTTAAGAGTAAATGTTAAGAATTTATAGTAAAGAATCATTTTTTGAAACATATATATATATATATATATATATATATATATATATATATATATATATAATTAATATGTACTTTTTATTTCAAAATTTAAAGTGAAACTGCAACGTTTCATCGTTGCTTTCTTTTATTTATAACAAGATGATCATATAAATAATAATGTTTTATAAAAATAATTTCAAGTAAGACAAATAATTAAATCAATATGTATTAAATAATAAAAAATAAATAAATAAGCAAAAAGATTATAAATGATATATTTAGAATTATTGAAATTTATCGGAATTTTTTTCGTCAAGACATTTTAAAAGTATTAAAGAAAATAAATAAATGAATTCTGAGGGAGACAACAAACCTTAAGGCCCCGTCTAATATCATTTATAGAAACATATCCTTTGTGATCTTTGTCAATTATTTTGAAACGTTTGATGTATAATTGAATCTCGTCTTTCGTAAGATTAATCGGAATTTTATCACGAGACGTCCTATTCACTATTTGTCCCATCTCATTAGCTATAAATTCACTGGCCTCGATTTGTTGCTTCTGCTTTTCTTCTTCGCTCCAGTTTAATTCTTCAGCCATAATGTCAATGATATTTGGCAGTGCTTCTTGCGCGGCCTGGACATTCAAAAAGGCTAAACGAAACCGTCGGGCGATCATGTCGATTGCTGTTCTTGCATACTCTCGACAGCCGTAACGAACCTAAATAAACATGCCTATTAACACTACTAGCATATAATTTAGACGTCATTTAAATGATTAAATATATTTTATTAATTAAGAGTTATGTTGAGATTTAATTAATGAAAGCGATGTATTAAAATTCCTTTATAAGATGATTTGGCAGTAAAAAGTTTGGATTTTAAATTTATAAATTTTTGTTGAGAATATTTAAAAAAACATGAACATATTTATATGATTTACAATATGAATTCAATTAACTAATTTAATAAAGTATTTTACAGAATTACGAAATAAAAATGTTTGAAAGAAAAATTTAGCAAAAGAATGTATTTTATGAATTATATGAAAAATAATGAAATATTCCATATATATATATATATATATATATATATATACAAAGCGACATTATCATGAATATCGACATAAAGCATACTGTTATTTGTTTTTTATATGGAAAGAAATTTTGAAAATTATAATACTCGTTGACTACTGATAATACTTTGTTTCTAACATTTTTCAATTATCTGCCAATATAAAAAATCTAATTAAAGTTTAAAGTATTCGTAGTGCGTTGTTGAAATAGAAATTAGATTTTCTAAAATATACCTATACACATTTGCAAAAATAATAGATGTGACCAAAAAATAAAAAAATTAATATGTGTGTGTGTGCGCGCGTGCGTGCGTGTGTGAATTCTTATTACTTCTGCATCGATGTATGGGAATTCAGGATGTAATTTTTTTCCAATAATGGGCCATCGTTTGCCGGTAAGCGCAGCCATTTTCGCAACGGCAAAAGCGCGATCACCGTAACTGTTGGCTAAATGCTGGGCCACTTCGCATTCGAGTCCAAAATCCTGGACCAATCGAATGTACATTGTAGGTGTAAATCCATGAGCTCCTTCCAAGTAAAGATCCTCGGTCTGACATAATCGCGTCGGTTCTAAATTACAAGCTGTTGACGTAATGGTTTCAAATTAATTATCATTTATTAATAACGCGATTTTAAGCAAATTGCTTGTAAAAATAAAAGCTAAATGTAACTTTTTATTTTATCGTTGTTAGATATAAAATTTAAGACAAACTCTTACAATCTGTTTATAAATAAATTCACCCTGGGTAATCATAAACAAAAAAAAAAAAAAAAAAGAAAGAAAGAAAAGAAGAAAAAAAAGAGAGAGAGAGAGAGAGAGAAGCAATAATTTTTTGCCCGTTAATTGTATGGGCATTGCAAAAGTAACTAAAGATTATAAAGTCAAAAATTATTATTTTACGCAATGCGTATTTTTAATAATTTTTTAATTATAATATAAATAAAGTATAGATTAGAGAGTTGGGGGATTACTTTGACATTCATAAAATTCGAATATACGTCGTGTTAAACTTATGTCCTATCAAACACTTGATAACATTATATAAAATTCACTCTTATGATTAGGAATTAATTACATTTAATTATCTATTTGATTTAACGAATCGGCGATAAATTACACCCATAATTTACTAAAACTTGCATAATCATTAACCTTACACAACATAAATAAATGTTATATCTCTAAACAAACCTTTGATGGCAGTGTTAATCGTTTCTTCGGCCATCCATCTATATGTTGTCCACTTTCCACCAGCAATCGTTATGAGATTTGAGGGGCTCACATGAACGACATGATTACGTGCTAAAGAATGTGTATTGGGTTTGTTGGGATCGGATACCAAAGGTCTGATGCCACTCCAAGCTGACAGTACGTCACCTCGGCGCACTTCGACATCTGGATTTAGGTAGTTTTTTACCTCTTGGAGAATGAACATGATCTCGTCTTCGGTCGGTTTAGGATTGTGTGTCACGTCACATGGCAAATCCGTAGTACCGGCGATCGTATGTTTCTGCCAAGGCAGGAAGAAAATAACGCGACCGTCACTCGTTTGTGGATCGAGAAGTCCCATCTGGTCGGGGCTACAGAATTAAATGAAATGTAACAAGATATCAAGATGTCAAAATTATCGATAATTTATTTAAATTGCCTCACTAATCGTAATACACGATAGAGTTAAAATTCTAGTTAGTTAGGATATATTAGAAACTTTGTATTGCTTGTAATGGAAGGTAAAATGATTAATGATTCAGTGAGTCGTGTCACATAAGGTACACGATACGCTATAGTATTACTATAATTGATCGCAAGATCAATGAAAATATTTGTATGTATGTTCATTAAATTCGATTATGGCAATATGATTAGATTGCACGCCTCGTTATACGTAACCAAGTAAGTATAGAAGAATTTCAATTACTTATTGAAGCTCGCATTACCTATAATAACCAGGAAGAACAATGTGCACCCCAGACGAGGGAGCACAGATTTCATTAACACATTCGTCATCCATCTTTCGAATACTGTCGGTAAACGGTCCAGTCGCATTAATAACCGCTTTTGCTTTGACATCCCATTCTTCGCCAGTCAATTCGTCGCGCACTCGTGCTCCGGTAATAACACGCTTGCCAGCCTGTACGCAAAGGACATTATTTACTCTAAATATTTACTACAACGTGCAATTAATCGTTTATCCTAACTAATTGTCTTAAGCAATTTATCCGTACTTAATAATGCCTCGATTATTTTTAGCTCGTACAATCTTACACTAAGAAGGACAAAATTATGATTTAAAAATTTCTTCCTCTAAAAGTCTACTTACGCCGTCTATGTCTTTTAGAAGATTAATGACAGTGACGTGGTTCACAACTGTTGCGCCATGTCTCGATGCGGTCAGGGCTATCGCTAAATTCATTCTAGCGTCGTCTTGTTGGCCTAAAATAATTTATTTCTCAATTTTCAAGTCAAGTAATTGTCAATTTAATTACATTAATGGTACAATTGCAATTATCGCAGCAGCCTATTGATAATTTTCGCCCAAAATACGAATACGAGATTAATAATTTATCGATACGCGCGTGTTATTGCCGGTAGAAGATGATTTGAACTAGAAAGCGCCGGGCACTTCATCATTAAATCCATACTTTGGTCAATAATATAATTATAATACATGACAATTAATATTTATTATATCGTTAGAATATCCGTATTGCTGCTGTTATTAATAGGAAATTTATGCACAACTACTATACCATCGTAATAAACAATTGCTCCCGTTAATTTATGACCCTTCAACATTGGAAATAATTCCAGTGCATTTTTTTTGCTAAGGTAATAGGACGATTTGATAGTTTTGTTTCCAGCTACGATATCGTACATTTTTATGCCGACCCAGTAGTAAGGTATTTGCCACCATCTGCAAGAAATACAATAATAAAGATACTTTTGTTAAATTGTCGTTTTTTTTTTTTTTTTTTTTTTTTTTTTTTTTTTTTGTTAATGGAAATACTTGAATATAATAGAAATTAAGTAGGTTTAATTCACTGTTCCTCTAGGTAATACAAACGGTGTAGGAATCCACTTTATTAATACAAAAAAAAAAAAACAAAAAACAAAAAAAACAAAACAAAACAAAAAAAACACAAAAAAAACACAAAAAAAACACAAAAAAAAACAAAAACAAAAAAAACACAAAAAAAAACAAAAACAAAAAAAAAACAAAAAAAAAAAACCAATATACCATATACTAATTTTCAATGAATCGACATACTTCGTCTAATTTCAATTTGTCCACTTCTTTCATCGCTACACTCCATACAAATATTCCATTTCAAATGTTAAAACACACGAACTCAAATACTCAAATGGTAAATGTGCGATATTTGTTGGACACGTTGATATTTGAAAAGCAGATGTCAAACAGACAGGTTTCGACGGAAGCAATGAAAGTTCACATTTTTTAAGGACACTTACGTATAAACTGGAAGCATAATGGGCAATGGATGCGCTAAATGAGGAGCATTACGAATCATCGAAGCTCGTTCATTAAGCGCTTCTTTAACCATTCTGTATTGTTCGATGTCCAGTCGCATAATTGCCGTTTGTAAATATCGTACACCACCATGGATTAGCTTCGTACTTCTCGATGATGTGCCCGAGGCAAAGTCATCGCCTTCTATTAGCGCGGTTTTAAGACCTGCAAAGTGGTACATAAGACATACGAGCCTTTAAATTAATATAATGTCATTATTGTTATGTTAAATTACATTATATTATCTCGATTTATTATAATAAACGTGTAATAAAGTCCTTAATTATCATCCTATTATATCCTTAGATGCTATGAATTATTTCATACAATGTACTATTTGAAGAGGTGATGTAATGAACATCGAGTGTGAATAATTAAGGTACGCAATTACCTCGTGTTGTGGCATCGAGTGCACATCCTGCTCCAGTAGCACCTCCTCCAATTACAAGAATATCGTAAGTTTCTGATTTTTTAAGTTTGCTAATTTGTTCTTCTCGAGTCGGTAAAGGCTTTTTTGGTGCACACGCTCTCTTTGCTTTTACCTTCAAAAATTTTTTTCTAATTACCTCGTGCTAATTTTTAATGAAATTATGAGTTGGGGTATAGTATGATTATATAATGAAATAGTTAAGGATTGCCCATGCCAATTATTGAATGTGATTATTCATTATTTATGTAAAAGCAGTTGTTTAAAAAATCCATTACACCTTGCTATATTTATAGATTAAAAACTTTATGCTCAATATACGCTTTTATAACTACTTTATTTGAAATCTGGCTTTTATCATATTCTTCATCGAGTTTCTTATCAATTATACAAAATAGTTTATTCCGCTACTTTTCTATTATCTTACGACTATTTCAATAATTCGTGTTTGGTTCATTTTTTTATTCTCAATTTTTTCGTCGCATCTGCACATTACTATTATTTTGAGAAACACAATACATAAGCATAAGAACTTTTATACAATAATATAACCGATGCATTCTTTATAAATTGACAATCGATTATTACACATTAAAAAAGTTAATACATAATATGGAATAAGTTTTTAACGCGATTGAAAATTTGCATAAAGTCCAATACTTTACTTTTTGTATATACATATATATATAAAAAAAAAAAAAAAAAAAAAAAAAAAAAAAAAAAAGAGAGAAAAGAAAAAAAAAGGATACTAATTCATAATTAAAAAAAGGAATAATAATAATTTCCATTCACAATACATATTCATAAAGTTGAAAATTATTAGATAAAATTATAATATAGATAAATTAATTTAATAAATTCGACATCATTATTTGATTAAATTATTGATAATTAAATGCATACAATATTTTTCATCAACAGAAAGAAGATAGGTTTTGTTTCTTTTTTTTTTTTTTTTTTTTCAGCCACCGATATCTTAAATGACGCATGTGCATTAAAGATTTTGAATAACCTTACTAAGAATTTTTGTTACCTTAAGAAAATACACACACGAATACACAATCTAATTTTATTGTATCACTCGTATTAGTCCTATCTATAATACATGATAAATTATTAAAAGTAACTGTTAATAAAAAAAAAAAAGAAAAAAAAGAAAGAAAATAAAAGTATTATCATTATCCTAACAAATAGAACGATGATCAAACATTAAAACAAGTTTTTTTTTTTTCTTTCATACATCCATGTAAATCAATTAACTATAGCTTTAATGCGTTAAATTATTACTTACGGTATTATTAGGTGTAAGCAAATAATATGTTAAAGTCCCAGTTCCAATGGCGCTCACACTAGCTGCTAGAAGTCTTCGAGTTGTCATTTTAAGCACTAATTAATTGCTCAAAAGTTATTGAACTCTGTAACATTAATTTAGAAAACACAAATAAAAATACGTTTAAGGATGATAAGACAATTTGCTTCTTAAACGAATAAATAAGCCAAGGTACGATGTTTCAATTTTTTTTTTTTTTTTATGATTCTCAAAGGAAGTCTCAGATAATTATTCAAATTTACATTCAATTTAAATTTCAATTACATTCAAATATTATCAAATGCCGATGTATTTCCATTAATTTATGAGATTTTTGTAATGACTTGAAAATTTTCATTCCAATATATCTAATACCTAACGTACTGTATAATGATATTTGTTCTTATGACATAAATTGTATAAATAAATAAATAAAAAAAAAAATGTGTTTAATCATTTTAAGAATATGAGAATAAATTTTTTGGAACTTTTACAATAACACGCTCATTCGATGTTATGCTTATTTCATTAATTCAATTTATTTAAATTAATTGGTTATATTTATATCTCTCTATGTTCTAATGCATTTTATTGCAAAATAATTTAAGTCAATATTATCATATGTTAATCGGTATATAAATGATATAACAGCAAACATTGCAAATCATCTTTCATACATACGCGATAATATTAAAAATAATAAATCGATTTATTAGATTTTCATAGAGAGATAAAAATCGAAATCACATGTTTCTAACGTTACATAAAAATTCGAAACCTAATTTTCATGGATAAATAGCATATATAAATATTATAAAATTATGTTGTTTTTTTTTCCCCTCAAATGCATATCAATTGATAATCATAAATTTCAATGTATTTAATAATAAGTAAATAATTATTTGTAATGGATGAAAGTAATTGATATTATCTGTAAGTATCATACAAATATCTATATTATAAATTTAAATAATAAAAGAATTATTCTAATTAAACATTGTTTAAAATTGCGATAATTTATTTAATAATAATGATATTAATTAGAAATACACTATAAATTTTTTTTTTTTTTTCCCCATTGTATTATTATAGCACACAATTCCAAAGTATTCAACAGATTATTAGCTTTATTATTCATATAAATAGAACTATTTTAAATCTGGTAATGGCTAGTTATTATTGGTTTTAAAAATTGATAAACAAGAACAACTTTATCTGAATAAGATATATTATTAAAATGGAGAATTAAATCTAACATTTATTATTATTAAATAAATAAAAATAAAAAATATATATATATATATATATATATATATATATATTAAATTATTAAAATTATGAATTTAATGTAATGGTAAATGGAAAAATCGTTAACAAAAATGAAATACATAACATATAAATCACTTCAATTGAAATTTAAAATAAATATATGTCTTATAACATTTTCTGTTTCTATTTACATAATCAAAATTAATTTATAAATCAATGTCTTAATGTTCTTTTTAGAATTCTATTTATATTAAAATCCATAAATTCTTAACACAATTTGAGTTCGTTGTGTATATAAATTTATTTTATACACATAAAAATAATAATATTATACAAGATTATCTGCCTACTCTCGATATGAACTTTAAATAGTAAATATATATTTTTTTTTCCTAAAAAATACCTCTTATTTAAAAATAAACAACACTGCTATTATGAATTACAAATAATATATTATAAACATTAAAAGTATATATGAACGATTTAAAATAACTTTCTACATTAGTTCGTAAAATTCGAATATCTAGCTATTCTATTTTACTTTTCAATAAATAAAGCAAACAGCAGAAATACAAACACGTATGAATTTCTATTTTATAACGTATATTTCAATTAATTACTTAACACATATATTTTATCATACAGTGCTCCGTCAATATGCTTTTCAATACAATTTGTTTGAATAATTTCGATGTTACAGAAATATTTTACGATGGTGCATTTAAAATAATAATAATCTCGGCTATCATAAAATATATTCCTTCTTTAATAATGAAAATTATCATAAAATTAATTGAAACATAAAGAAATTTCATGTGTTAATTACTCGTTTAATTATCCAAATAAAGAAATTTTCAATAATTCAGCAATTTAAAATTTTCTTTTTAAATTTTTAACAAATTAGTCTTTTATCTTTGATATTAAATAACATTACATTAATTGTTAATAAATAATTGCAAATTGTTCAGGTACCAATAAAGTACCGATCGATTGTATTAACTGTATGATATTGCTTTCATACAAAATTCGATTTATGAAGGATAATTTTAAAAAACGTTATGCCATATCATGTTTTATTAATTATGTAAAATAAATTGCAAACTTGACAATATTTTTATTATTACGTACATTTTAAGGTTACGTATCAATAAATTTGCAATAAAACTATTCATACAATTACATAATAGTAATTTTGATAATGACAAATGCTTTAATTCTTTTTCATTAAAATACCTTTATATTTTATGCAATAATAAACATTCGCATAAATAATATCAAATGCAATATTAAAGACGTTATTATCAATAAAAATAAAATGTGATTTAAATTACACGATAATCAAGAATTCATATTGATTATATTGTTTAATAGCTATCAGTGTCATATTATCAGCTTTAAAACTAGATTATAAATAACAATTAGAAAAATTAAACATTTAAAAAAAATCACAGAATATAATAATCTTTTTTCAAATATTTTATACTTAAAAATTACACATTAAATTATTTCGTAACTGAAATTCTACATATCTAAAACCAAAAATGTTAAAATATTTTAAAAAAACTTAATATACCTTAGTCCAGTTTATTTGTAAATATGTATATTATTTACAATTATTATCTATTTTATATATGTTATTTATAAAAAAATGTGGAAAAAAACTTACTTCAAATAATTTATGAACAATGTATTTAAATATATTTCCTTTTAATGAATCGCAATCTTTTAATATACTTTAGCGATTATGAATGATATTGGTCAAATATCAATAAAAAATAATACATAAAATGTTTATTTTAATTAGAATAAATTTAACGAGCTAATTCTATAATAATTTGGTTATGTGTAACTGAAACTTTTATAAATCTAACTGCATTATGCATTATTATTATTTACTCTAAATTTTTATTACCATATAAAGCTAATACATCAAAATTTATAAAAATGAATGATTAACATTGGCAATTTATTTTTAGATTATTTCTTAACAACCTATGGAAAAGTATACTGCAACTGCAACATAAGGAGCAATTAATAACAATGCTATCTGATTGTACAAGATACTTAAATGTGTTACTCATTATGTGAAATAATGCAAAATATTAAAACGCTTTACGAAAGATTGTTTGGCAACCTCGTGGACTTATGCAAATGATACCAAAGCTCGATGACGAGAGCTAATATTATAATCCGTTTGACTGATTTCTATATGACAGATTTTCATGTGAAATTGTTATTATGTTAAAAAAAAAAAAAAAAAAAAAAAACAAGCAAACAAACAAACAAACAACAACAACAACAAATAAACAAAATGTTCAAACATTATAATTTCGCTTAAAGTTATTGACAATGTTCCATGTAAATTTAATATGTATAACGTAATCCCACTAATAGCTTTTAACGGAATCAAGTACATTCCAGTTTATTATTTCTTAAATCTTTTTATCTCATAAAATAACATCTAAAAATTTGTGTAGTTATTGAGTGAAAAATAAATTTAATTCAAGATAGTTAAATAAAATTAGAATATGATAAAAAATAGTAATAGTAAATATAATTTATATATTGGCACTTTTATGTACACTTTATCTATGATTTGTATGTTACCTAATTTATTGGTTATAATTTATTCTAACAACAACAAAAATGATATAATACTTTGATTCTTTTCTAAAATAATTTTTAATAATGTTTGTCAAACGCGAATAAAAAAAATAATTGGTAGTAAAAAATATCATATCAGAATCGTAAGAAATTTATGTTTTGTATATTTAATGAACACTGTTATTATTATTTAAATTAAAATTTGATAAAACTTTTGGCATTGTTTTTTTTTTTTTAATTGCTTATAAAAATTTATTATGAATATTTATTTGAATGTTTAACTTAGATTATAATACAGATTTTATAATAAAGAAAACACTTTACAAATTTATATTTATAATTAGTTTATCATAAAGAATTTATTACACATATGAAATATATTAATTACAATATTATTTATAATTTTATTTGTGAATGTTGAAATGTATTTATTATTGAAATTTAATAAATTTATATCCTGTATTCTTGATTTAATGCAACGGTTTCCAATAAATTTCCAGTGTTTTCTATTTAGATAAAAATTATTCAATTTTGATAACTGTATTCTTTTAAAAACTCGACTCGATATTAATAATTATATACGGTATAAATGTTGCAAATTTTTGATTTGTTGAAATACTATTTTTAATGATATATATATATATATATATATATATATATATATATATATCAATATAGTATAGTAACTAAATAAAGTTAAATAAAATTTTTCTAATTTTATCAAAATTCAATTATCTTTTATGCCTTAACACTAAATATCTAATTCAAGTATTTAATAAAACAAAACTTGTTTTGAAAAACTCCAATATATATGTAAATTATTGAAATCCAAAAGAAATGGCATATATCATTGTTAAATATAAATTTTATATAAAATTTTAATACTTAAATATATATATATATATATATATATAATTTAAATATTTAAGTAGTTGATTTTATTTATTAAAATATATATTGAATGCATTATGAGAAAATTATGTAAACTTGTAAAAGCTAGTTAGAACTTTAAATAAAATAATACATCAATGTATAAGCAACGCTGCTAGAATAACAAATCGTATTTAAAAGTTTTTCGCATTGTCATATGTTACAGTAAAATTTTAATAACAATTAAAAATGATAAGAGATGCCTATTATGTTGCAATGTTAAACACAAATAGCGTAGAATCTTGTGCCAAGTGCTCATTTCTCCTTTCGGTAACGCGATCTAAAAAGAATAAAAACCAC